TCTTCTTGTGCCTTAGGTGTTTAGATTTTATGGCTAAACTAACTTGTATGTTGAATTCTGAACAGTTTAGCTGGCAAAAATTGATATATTGTACCAAACCTTGCAGCACCAACTGTACAGTGTTTTCTCTGCTGATTCTTGCGAATACCTTTGCATAGATGTATGTATTTGCACAAAGAAAAACAAACTGCCGTCGCAGTCCTGTGATCTGTGAATGTTTTAATTACCATGACGGTAATTCCAGCTTACCAACAGACTACTTCTCTTACCTCTACCGCTGCACTAGACATTTATTTTAGGTCCTGTTAAAGGTAAAACGACTAACTGCTCTGCAGATATGCTTGTCCGCTTTAATTAGTCTTCTTTAAGCTGTGCAAAGAGAAACTGTGCTTAATTAGCTTTCCTTAAATTAGGATTGATATACCAGCCTGTGTATGTTGACACTGCCATTACTGTCTAATAAGCTAAGTGCTCTGTTGTGCAATTTTTTTCCCCAGAGGGTTGATTTGCAAGATGGCAGACAGAGCCAGTGTGCCGGCTTTGGCTTTAGCAGGGCTCTCGGCACTGCCTCGGGCTAGAGGCGCTGGGTCCGCGCTCCCGGGGCTGCCAGGGGCTGGGCAGTCTGTGTGGCATGGGCTTTCCCGACTCCTGCTTGCAGGTCCACCACACTCAGGACAAGCTCTTCCCCTGAGCCTCCAAAACTCTTGCAGGCATTGCCTTGCTCTAGTGCATGAAACTTCTGGCCACGAGGAGGAGGGAGAAAAGATTTTATTCTTCCATTGGCAGAAACTCCATGCCAGAGCGAGTCCACCTCTGCAGGTCTGCATTAAGTATATGTTTTGGACAAAGAGGTTTCTGTAAAAAGTGGTAGTTTCCATACTGAAATGTTTGCTTTCGATCAGTGTTGGGGGTTTCTTAAAGGCACAGGTTTATCTCTAGTCCTTTCCAGCATGAAGACCAGAAAATCTCCTAACTCTGTGTGTGTGTGTCTATCTCCTAAACTGGTTTCCTTTAACTAACCAAGTTGTGTGTATGTTGGAACGAGTGGACTTGGAACATCTCACTACTTTTACAAAGTATGTTTTGACAATTTGAAATGAATAAAACAGATTTTTATTAGGTGTAATGACAATGAGAGATGGCTCCTCCGGGGCTTTTAAAGAAGGGGGAGAGGGGGATGGTCAAGCTTCTTAACCCACAAGGTCACCTTGGCAGCCATCTGGAACCTGGAGACAGCTGCCAAGTGGTATTTACCTGTGGTCAATGCAAATGCACATGCAGGTAGCCAGGCTATTTGCTTGTGCTTAAGCAATGTCTTGTTAGCAGGTGCATAAAACTGTACTGTTGCCTTGAGGTTTAGTCATACAAGCTACTGCAGCTTGGTTTTGTTACTGGTTACAGTCAGAAATGTGGTCTGATCTCTCTGAGATCCCTTGTGCCACACAGCCTTTGGGGCATTGTACAGCCAGACAGTATAGTCAGGGGAGGAATCTGCATGGCTCCTTCCTCTTCGCAGGGTGGACTTGCTACATAGCTGGGAGCAGTGTTATTTCTTCACCCAGATGGTTTTTGTCAGCTGCCTCCAGGGTCCTCCCTTGGGGTTTGTACAGGAGTGGCTGGTGTAGATGCCAAGGGAGGGGACAGCTTGCAGAGTACCCAGCCTTTCCTCCCCTTGCTTTTCATTGCCTTGCGTGGATTCTCTCAGGGACAAGAGGCGGCTCTCTGCAGCGTGCTGGAGATAAAAGGTGATACTGGTAGGACTGGAGGAAAAGCAGGAGATAGCTGAGAACATGCCTTCCTTGGAGACCTTGCCCTGGAGGAGCACAGGTGCCAGGTGCTGCCCTTGGGCTCAGCACTGCAGTCCCATCACTCGGTGGATTGTTTTCTTTCCCACATGCCAGCCCTGGTTCCTATAGCCATCTGAAACTTCTCCAGTAATAAAAATTGAAAACCAAAAATATAATTCATCACACTTAATAATGCAATTACTGGTGAGTGGAATTCACTTAGAAAACTTCAGTGAGGTGTACTCCTGTGTGCCAGGATTATCTCACTGCTATGAACTTTGAGCTCTGCTTGCAGATCGGCTTCTCCTGTCCCATTGACTACCTGGCCATCAGCTCTGCAACAGTTCTGAGGAGTCCTTATGCCAAGGAGTATCATTCCCTGTGTTACTTGCTCAGTGACTTTCTTACCTCACCTTGGAGTCTGTGCCCAGAATAAACTGCCTGTGACAAGCTACAAGTCCAAGTCCCTTGAGTAGTTTTAAAGGAGAAGCAGATTAGAGCCTGGTGGTAAAACATCCCAGCTGTGCTGCACATAGAAATGCCAGTGAGAAATGCTAAATCAGTATTTGTCTGGACGCCTCTTCAGCTTTGCATCTGTGGGTTTAAATATCTCAGACGATGAGCCGTGTCTGTGCCTGCTCAGAGGCTGCTTGGAGCCCGGCCAGCGCGTCCCAAAGGGCAGCAGATTCTGCACGAAGTGCTGCCCGGGGAGGCTGGGACTGCCCCACCGGCCCCCCAGGTGTGGGCTCTCTGAACTGGGACTGCTGCTGACCTCTGCCGTAGGTTTGACTGGCCAAGTACATCTCAGCAAAGCAGCCTGTTAGTTGCTACCATTGTATGTGTTCAGAATTTGGCACCCGTGTATTTATGCTTGCTTTCCAGGGCAGACTGCAAATACGCACTTTGTTGAAACCAATCTGCTAATTTTTAAACTGCCTGGAGCTACGATTCGCAATGGGTGGCAGGTGCTTGTGGTTGCAGGGCCCCCAGACAACTGGGATAAGCTATCTATTGCCCTGACGCCGGAACCCACTTTCTCTTTGGAAGAGCCCTTAAACCTTTCTCTTGCTCACTTGTCAGATAAAGCAGCCCTGAGTGTCCATTCAGCTCAGCCCTTTGCTCTTTTAAGTGACGTAACTTAAAGGAAGATTTACTAGATGTGGCTGGGGGGGAGTCGCAGTGCCAGGATGCTGTTGCCTTTGTCCTGAGTGTCCGTGGGACCTGGTGTGTCAATACATGCAGGTTGGCACACATCCATGCCCCTGTACTCCTTATAGAATAGGTGTTTGTCTATCTGCATGTGCATGGCTCCCCAAAGAAAGTTGCAGGGTACCTTGGAGTGGAGGTATCCTGAAATTCTATCCTTAGGTGGAATTTTAAGGAATATATGGAAGTAATGTTGTTTGCAAGCCTTTAAAAATCGGTTGATTCCCAGTGCTGGATAGTTAGTCAGGAACAGATCAAAGTCCCGGTGTAGTTGAAAAGATTTTATATCTTTCAGTGTCACAGTCTCTAATTTGTTTAGATGCATGCAGAGGATCAGAAACTAACCTGCATCTGGGGATTAAGGCAGCTTTGCTATCCAATCTGAAAGCTAGCATATTCTAAAAGATTTTCAAAGTCTCAGAAGGCAGTGAAGTGCTTTACTGATTTTTATGTCTGTAAAAATCTCTATTTAGTGTGCCTGGTGGAATTATATAAATACATGCTGCCAGCTGTCTGACACCAACAGATACCACCCAGAGCATTTAAGTACCGAAGTGGTAGGCCTGTGAAGATAGAGACGTTGCTGTTGCTGTGTGAGCACCCATGCAGAAAGACTAAGACTTGATAATTCCACGTGACACTTGCTCCTTTACAAGTTTGCTGTAATTTTTCCCCTCCCACCTCTCCTACCCCAGGAGTATACTGGTGGTTATGCTGCATGAAAAATAAAAGGTGTTTTCATTATACATCTCTAGAAGGGAGTTGCCATCATGATAAGAGTTTTTCTGCAGCAATGAGAAAAGAAGAAAAGAAGCAGTCTGATCTCTTCCTTGGCAGCCTTAGCCTACACCATTGTGCTTGGGGATCTTTTAACTAGGGAGAGGCTGAACTTATTTTAAAGGTTAAGATAAAAGCAAAATAAACCACCAAACCCATTCCTTTACTATCTTTGCTGCTTTTCAGTTCCAGTCCCACACTCCACACGGTGCTTGGGTGAACCCTGCTGTAGTGCCTGGGCAAGAAGTTGCTCTAGGGCAGCCCAGGATGAAGGGAGGCCCTAAAGCAGGAGTTGAAGAGGTTTTATTTGTTGAGGGCTTCAGGTTTTGGGTCTTGCTGGTCCCAAGCTCTGCTCTAATAAGCATAGTGATTCCTGAGTGAGATGCTCTATTTTATCACATCTGTGTGGCCCTAGACCGTGTCTCTGGTCCATCTTGGTGTGTTCTGGGTATTTTGCCACTCGCTGCTATGGGACATAGGTATGTAAGTCTTCCAGGGCAGTGCTGCATATTCCAGGTACCATCTAGTACAGCAGATGCAAAAGGGTGTTCAGCTTTTCCTGAGCACCAAGTTGATTTGTTAGATCTAATTAGATCTTCCTTTAACTTTCATAGAGTTTCCTATTGAACTGCTTTTCCCTTTGGGGCATAATAGACAATGTAGAAGTTATAAAAGGACTGCACCTCTTGAGTGTTTTTACTGAGACCAAACCCTCACTCAGTTTTGTTATCATTCAGCCTGGTTTGTAAATGTTTCACTGTGTCTGCTCCATGCTAGCTGTGCTCATGGAGTTTCAGATGCTGCAATATCTGCTCTTACGCATGAGGATGGGGGTTATTTGTGTTCCATTTAGCTTTCCAATTAGGAACAATCTATTTTTACTCTAGCTGCAAGGCATCAAGACTTTTTCCTGCTTGTTTCTTTGGAGTGAACTTGATGGGATAAATTGTTTAGGTTTTGTGGAGGAAAATCAGTAATGAGATGAAAGCTGTTAAGAGCAAGCAGTTAAACCAAAAAGAGAAGTGAAAAAAAAAAAACCAAGGAGATTCACTTGTCAGAAATATTTTTTTCGTTTAGATTAGATTTAGACTTTCAGATTAGATTGGAAGATGTTTCAACAGACAGAATCTCCTGAAAACATGGTTGTTGTTGTCTGGATGTCTCTGTGTTTTGATACCTTCTTCATGACTGGAGGATAAATTTTCCTTTTCTTCTTTTTTCCTTGGATAGGAAAGAATGCATTTTCACCATCGACCCATCAACTGCCAAAGATCTTGATGATGCTTTGTCCTGTAAACAACTCCCTGACGGTATGAGATATATTTTGCAAAATACTTCTCAGTGTTTATTTTCAGACGTTGACACATCATATATATAATTTGTCCTGAAGTATTCTTTACCAAATATGAGTAGAGTAATAAACTAGTTTTTCTCTTCTTGTTTTAATTGCCTGTTTTCAGAAATCTTAGAGCAGATATCTTCAAGCTGCACTCTGAAGTATTCAGTCTTGGTGTCAGGAAATACAGAACCATAGTGTTTTGCATAATCAGAGCTGTAATTTGATTTGAGCAGATCTCAGCTGTCTCCTGTCATTATGGGAGTTACAGATGAATAGCTAATATGCCACTCTTGCAGACTGAAGTCTAGTGAAACTTTGACCTTGAATACGCAGTCCCTGGGTAAAGGAATTCAGTTTTCTGAAGGTCACTGGCTGATTGCTTTCTGGTGTTTATGGGATGCTGGGAATTGTCAGATGAGCAGAGTGTGCCTTACGAGTTGTGTTATTCTTCTCATTGCCTTTTAAGCTTTCTGTTCTGCCTTATTTGTACTTTTACTATGCCGTAAGCCAACAGAACAGAAAGTAAAGCTCCAGAAGCCAAATCTTGATGATTCTGACTTAAGGAACTTCCTTCTTGTAAGTTCACTTTGCCATCCAAGTTCTGCTTATTTAGTTTGATGGGATCCAGTAACAGGCTTGGTTAGAAATATTGCATGATTTGATTAGCCTATCCATCACTAATAAAGAAGATGAAGTGATTTTTTTTGTGTGTGTATTTAGTTTTTCTTGCTCTTGTTAATCATCCCAGTATGATGATATTAAAGACATCGTTCCCTTTTTTTGGGCTGATTTCATTCTGTGCAATGTGGCCAATGAATTGTCATGTCATTTAGACCCAGGTACGGAACAGTATTACACAGCTATAAAACTGATTAAAAAAATCAGAGATGAAAGAAAATTTGAAGCCAGTAAATTATGCTGTACAACAGCAGTTTTGAGGCAAGATTGAGGAAAAATTGCTGTTCTATTTCACAGAAAATTTAAACAGTCATCTTGAGAGATCCTAAGCTGAACTCTGTTCTGTCTCTTTCCACTTCATCATTTGAATTACTGTAGATTTATGTGTGTTGTGATCCCACAGCCCCTCAGATCTAAGGTGTTGAGACTTTGGCTTCTGAGCCTTTACTACTCACATATGCATGGGTTTTAGATGCTGCAGGAAGCGATTCACTGAGCTGGTTTGTGGTGCCTACATCTGTGTTTTTCTCTTATCCATAACCCATTTGGAGAAAGTCTTCAAGAAAAATACCTGTTTGAACAAGAATTCTTCTTTCCCAGAAAGTCTGCAAAGCCATTACAGGGCTGTCACTCATACCTGGGACTCGATATATCTGCTGATCAGGGATGTGGCCACACGTCGAAGTCTGCCTTGTCCCTCTGACCCCAACTGCAAAAAATGCTCTATGAGGCCTCTTGTTCCAATCTCTAAGGAAGGAGAGGTACCAGTGCAGAAGGGATCCTCTACTTGTAAGGTCCAGCCAAGAAGGTTCGAGGTGTTACTGGGATGTTACTTGATTGCAGAAGTTCTGTAGCATGACTGCTAAAATGCCCCTTGTGATGCAGATGTGGGTGGCTGCAGTGCTGCCCCATGCCCTGATTGAGCCTCTTTGAAATGAATCCTTCTCATGCAATCCAACTGAGAAAAAAAACCCAGAATTTTTGTTAGGTTTCCTTCTGAGTGGACTTCATTCATGTGCTTTGCCAGTCTTCCCTGCTTTGTTGCTTTTTGCTCTTCTCTGTATAGGCATGAGACAGAGGTAGCTGCCTGCATGTGGGGGAGAAAATAAACATCTAAGTCCTCTTAGCCTGATTATTTCTGACTCATCCTTCTCCCAAGTGCTGTCTCAGGCCTGTGCTGGCTTCCTGAAGCCTTCAGATTAAGGTTTTTGCCACCCTTCCCTGATCTTCTATGAAGGCTAAGGAATGTGTGAAAAGATTACATGCTTTCAGGGACTGGCTTTACCTGTATATAACATAGGAACAGTCACAGTTCCTTCTCCCAGGTTATCCTGTTATTTCAAAGGTGATGATCTCTGATGCACTTAGCAGAGTGGACAGAGGATGCTTCTGCAGTCAAAGATAATACTTCCTTTTTCCTGCAAAACCAGGCAGGTGGGAAAGAAAAGTAAAATGGATCAGACTACAGGGTACTCTGCATGGGAAAGGTTTGCAAAGCTCAGTTTCTCAAATAAAACAAAAGTGGAAGGTTCAGGAACCTTTCTCCTCTTTTAGTTCCTCATAATGAACTTCACCGGTGTGTTTTAGAAGAGACATGAATAAACCAGAAAAGAGTAGGAGATAGGGCACAGCTGTCTTCCTGAGAGTAAAAGTAAAGATTTGCTTGGCTTGTATCTGAAATTTATAGGATGGGAAATCCAGTATGGATTTAGTGCTTCTGAAAGTTTCACATCCTTCTCAATCATTGTGCACACTCCCCTTTTGTCCAGATGAGCCTCAGAGGAGAAAATCCAAGAGACAGATGAGTGAATGCCCTTGGTGCTAGCTGTCCCAGCCCAAAGGCCTTTGTTCACCCCCACGTATTGTTTTCCAAATGGGAGCCTGATCACAGCAGCCCTTTGTGTGCCACTTCTCTGCCTTTTGGCTGGAGCTGTGTATCCTCCAATGGACTTGTTCCACCCTGGACTCCTCTCAGTGAGAAGATGCTCTCTGGAGCATCTCTGGAGCCCCTCTGGACTGCTCTCAGTGAGAAGAAGCTGGAGCCATGTTTTCATCTGTTCCTGTTTTGGGCATCGTGTGCTCTGCCTCTCTTTTCACCCTTCGATCTGCCATGAGAGTGCTACCCATGCTCCATCACAGCACTGTCGCAGCTTAGGCCAGGGAAAGTCACCCCCTGGAAAAGCCGGTTTTGATGTTGGTGAATATCCCAGGGACCAGATTTTAAATCAGCATGGGTAAACTGAGTTGCAGACTGCCATGGAAACACCCTTTCTTTTATTTTGAAAATTGTGGTGTTTATTTTGAGGAGACCTTGTGGCTCAGAAGGAAGTACAAACAGGAAACCAGGTCCTGGATGGTCTTTGATGCAGTTATGATCGGTTAGGGAGGGAGCTGAGGAGCTGAGTGGGAGCGAGCAGCATAAAAATACTGCAGGAAACCCCTCTCCATCCTTTGAGCGGGCATGGCAGCTGGCTGGTCCCCAAGTGGGCAGGGGAAGGAAATCTCAGTGTTATATCTGTGCTGCGATGTTTGCTTAAAACATGAGATACCTCCAAAGCAGACATGTCCAGTCTGTTAGCTGGAATCATCTCCATTTTTAAGGCTCCTGATGTCATGCGAGGAGACGCTTGCTGAATCTTTTTAGTGAAGATGAGTAATAAAAGTAACTAAGAACCATACTGATGGACTCCTGTCCATTATCCTCTCAATGTGCTGCTGTTTGAGGCAGAAATTTGATCCAGCATTTCATGAACAGAATGTTATTTTGTGAGGGAAATCTGTTTCACGTGCAGTTGGCAATATAAACTGTATCCTGTGCCCCTTTCTGAGGTGTCACCTCGGAGATACAACTGCAGAGCTTGTTGTCCCAGAGACAAGGTGCTAAATCCTCAACCAAGGTATGAGCATCACACAGTCTCTGTTCCTAGCAGGAGAAAGTAACAGAAATGCATGTATTTATATTACCTGACATATGTACTCTTCATTGCAGTCCTTAATTTGCATCCTGATGGGGAATTAGCATTTGGAAATAGTTCCATCAACCTGTTCCTGGATGGGACTGGGCTCTGTATAGCTGGGGAGACTCCTCTTCACCTTCCAGCACTGGGACTTCAGCCCTCAGACCTGTCCTTTGCAGTTGGCAGGAAACATCCAGATCCATCTTGTGTCACAGGTTCCTGGGCATGCAAATTGAATCTGTAAACTCATAACTTTTTTGGCCCACTGTGAGCTGGTAGCTTTACTCAGTGATTTTCAGGCTGTGGTCCTCTGACTGCTGTAACACTATGTAGATTAATATTATAGGCCCATGAAATGTGACTGGCAAAAGCAGGGGTATAATTTCACCAGCATATGTGAAATTTTTAAAGATGTCTATATTTTGTTTTAAACTTTTTCAGGAATTTTCAGATTTAGAAAGGTCCAAAACCAATGCTGGGAGGCCTTTGGGTTCACTTCTTTGTGTTCACTTGCTTGCAAAGCTACAGCCGTTCCCAACTCATCAGAGTTAAGGTGAGCCCCTGTGGGAACCTCAATCTTGTGCTTAATAGAGCCTCTTGATACGCTTTGGAGGTACCCTGAGGATTTTTGGCTTTGAAAGTTGCTATGCTAGCTGCAATTATTATGACAAAGAGTTGTTTCAGAGGTTACGAGCCTATCCAGGGCTGGCAAGGCTGCAACTCTCATGAGGGCAAAGTTGTGTTAAGAGTTAACACAGCTTTTATTCCAAATGTAAATGTGGTTACAAGAAATTATTATTTTTTCCATCTTTTTTGCCCATATGTAAAACATTTAAAAAAACCCAAAACACCACCAAAAACCTGAACATGAGCAAACCACATATCTGGCATTCTCATGATGTCAGGAGATCTCCAAAAATCAACAGAGAATGCAGAACCCAATTCAGAAAATGTCTCTCTGGTGTATAGCACCCGTAATAACTACAAGAAAAAAAGAGATCACTCAGTGCCTGCACTTTGTCTATCAGACAGCTAAATCAGTGCATTTCAGAAAATTTTGAAGAGTGAAATTATCTTTGTCCTAAAGCATTCATTGCTAATTTATTCAAGACTGTGACAATGTCTTTGTCTTGAAGGATCTTAAGCAAGAAGCAGAGAGATAAAAGACTGGTTTTGCACCTTTGCTTAGTTTTAAAACTTTTCAGTGTAACCCTTATCAGTTCCTGTCACTGGATGGAGGACTCACCCATGCTACGTCCTCAGTAAAAGATGTCAGTTTTTGCAGAAGTAGTCCACAAATCTATCATGAAGAACTACCCAGTAGCAGAGTTTTGCT